TATTTATTTATTTATTTATTTATTTATTTATTTATTTATTTATTTATTTATTTATTTATTTATTTAACTTCTGTGCTGCCCACTCTACCCAAAGGTCTCTGGGCAGCTTACAACAATTACAATACAATTAAAATGCAATAAAAGATAAAACAATTAAAATACAATTAAAATAGATATTCTAAAAATTACCATCAGGACCCACAGTTGATGTTATTTCAATTAAAAAGCCTTCTGGAACAGGTCCGATACAGAAGGAAGCTGTCCCTTTGAAATCTGGTACAGTATGGGCATGATCATCCAGGACCGAGCACAGCAGATGGAACACTGGGTGCAGCACTACTCTGAGCTATATTCCAGAGAGAATGTAGTAACCAAAGAGGCACTAAATAACATCAAGTGCCTGCCTGTCTTGGAAGAGTTGGACAGCAAACCAACTTTAGCAGAAATAAAAGTGGCCTTGGATTGCCTCACCTCCAGCAAGGCACCTGGGAAGGATAACATCTCTGCTGAAGTGCTGAAGTGCTGTAAAGAGATCATTACCACCGAGCTGTATGAAATCTTCTGTCTTCGCTGGAGGGAAGTCGGTGTACCACAGGACATGAAGGATGCAAACATCGTCACAATGTATAAGAACAAAGGAGACAGAGGCGACTGCAATAACTACCGTGGCATCACTCTTCTCAGCGTTGTAGGGAAGCTGCTTGCCCTTGTTGTGCTGAAGAGACTCCAGGTGCTTGCAGACAGAGTCTATCCAGAATCACAGTGTGGATTCCAAGCTAATAGATCCACCACTGACATGGTATTCTCCCTCCGACAGCTGCAGGAGAAATGCAGGGAACAACAACAGCCGCTCTTTGTGGCTTTCATAGATCTCACAAAGGCCTTTGATTTGTTTAGCAGCTACGGCCTTTTTAAAAATACTTCCCTAGATTGGATGTCCTCCTCGACTCCTTAGCATCATCAGGTCCTTTCATGAGGGAATGAAGGGCACGGTAGTTTTTGATGGCTCAACATCAGATCCCTTTGACATCCAAAGCGGAGTGAAACAGGGCTGTGTCCTCGCACCAACCCTTTTTGGGATCTTTTTTGCTGTCATGCTGAAGCATGCCTTTGGAACTGCAACCGAGGGTGTCTATCTCCGGACTAGATCAGATGGAAAGCTCTTTAATCTCTCTAGATTGAGAGGGAAGACCAAAGACCAGCTGAAATGCACACAATACTTCCTCTGTCCTGAGCACACTCCTGTACTGCAGTGAGTCCTGAATCCTTTTGTGCATGGCAGGAGAGGAAGCTCCTGTATGGAGAATTAGTGCAGTGAAATCACCCCAGAGGGAGACCACAGCTGTGATACAAGGAGATCTGTAAGCAGGATCTGAAGGCCTTAGGAATAGACCTCAACAGATGGGAAACCTTGACATCTGAATGTTCAGCCTGGAGGCAGGCGGTGCATCACGGCCTCTCCCAATTTGAAGAGACCCTTGTCCAGCAGGCTGAGGCAAAGAGGCTGTCCCGAAAGCAGCCAAATCAGGGAGCTGGCCAGGAGACAGATTGTCTTTGTCTTCAGTGTGGAAGAGATTGTCACTCTCGAATTGGCCTTCTCAACCACACTAGATACTGTTCCAAGTCCTCCATACAGAGCACGATACCATAGTCTCTCGGGACTGAAGGATGCCTACACATACCAAGTTCTCAGTGATTCAGCAAGTCTGTCCTAGTTGGGACTAACAATTGGATTGGGGCCTTAGGATAATAAAAAAATTATCTTCAGTCCAAGTCTAAGACATTTTCCTGCAGAAGGAAATATTTATTTATTTATTTATTTATTTATTTATTTATTTATTTATTTATTTA